GTGTCGCTGCGTTCCTGGCTGGTCGGGTCTGTGGTGTCACCTGCCTGGCTCCGATCCCTGTGCCGTCTCTCAGCCCTGTCGCAATAAGGGCATCTGTGTCCCAGACGCGCACAATCCTGCCGGCTACTACTGTAAATGTCCCTTTGGATGGACTGGTGCAAACTGCGAGCGACGTAAGTTTTTGCTTAAAAGAAATCTCCTTTTTGTTCCAAAAATGGCAAAATACTCCATTCAGATATGTCCTTTTAGCATTTCGAATGCAATAACCGTCTACGTTGACGTTGAACAGGCCCTACTACCATCGGGAAGAAAAGTCAATATTTAAAGATTAACTGACTTCATTCCTCCTCATCGGAGTCCCGTGTATCAATATTTGGCTTGTTCCTCGTGTTGCTAGTCCTCTTTGTCGGCCCTCTTAGGAAGAAGGTGACGCAGTAAAAAGTTCGCAGATTTATATGTTTCTATTCTGGAACCGATCTCCTCGCTGCATGGTCAAATTCTATTCATGTGTCTGACAAGGGGCTTTTGACGGACCCCATTGGATAATAAAAATGGCTACTAGAGGCATGAAGTACGATAGTTCATACTACACTGCTCACTAGAGGATAAGATAAGTAGAGTATACTGCCACCAGCGCAGAAACAGATTGAAACGGATGTACTTTTAGACCCCATTTAGCCAAAACTCAATTGCAGGTTGAAAGTACCTGACAGTTCATCGCCGATTCATTTGTTCTCAACGTTAACATGATCTATCACTTGAAAACGGACCCATGCTCTGCTGGTTTTAGTTGGCACACTTCACCTTCGAGTAGAAGTGACGCTCATCGGTACGACTTTATCGTAGGATGGAATCCAAGAACTCTGGTTTTGTTAATCACCAGCCCAGGCCACCCACGGATGGCTGCCAGTTAAGGGGACTGCAATTTTCCTTTCTATTTTTGTATCTTCCTAAAACAGGTACTTGTGATTTCTTACAGCCGAAAGTAATCTCATTCTAGCGCTTTTGTCTGCTATGGAGCTACTTCGACGCACGACACAAAATTAGCTTCATAAACTGGGTTTCTAGTTGCGGTCTTGAAAAACGCATGTCGTCTCGCCTTTTCCGGATCCCTATCACGTCACTCCAAAACAGTTGCTACTTCCATCTCTCCTGTCCCCATGTTAGGGCCTAACTGCCGTTATTTACTAGATTGCTTTGCGGCTGAGTCATATTTTTCCTGCCTCGAAGTTCTCGCATTAGAACTCGAAGCATGATTCCTCGGCGAGGTCAAATAGACAGGTGCGCGTCTATGCTTGTTTGAAGATTCCCTCAAGCCGCTCGCTTCTGAATTACATGTGCCAGATCTTTAAACATGATCCTCAATGACGAATCGCTGTTATTGCGACTGAAATATGTTTATATGACACAAAGGATGTAATTGTCATAATAACATTACCGGAAAGGACAACGGAGACCGCAATACCCATCCGTAGCTTCTTAGTCGCCACCAACCAGTCATACCCAATCCCGAGGCTCGAACCCACGACCTTTTGGTTAGGAATCCAACGCCCTAGCACCCTGAGCCATGGGTTCGTTGTCTTGCCAGTTTCGATGTGAAATATTACCATTCGTGGATTCGCGCAATCGAACTGTTTACGGGATCGCCGATAGAGACGGGCATGAGGACAAATTCGTGGCTCAATGAGTTAGAGCGTTGGATTTCTAACTAACAGGTCGCGACATCGAGCCTGGGGTTGGGTACGACTGCCTGATGACGGGTAAGAAGCCATAGATACCTATTCACGTCTCTTTTTTCTTTTTCGGTAATGTATTCCTGCCTATCATATGCTAGCCCTTGAGCGACTGGTCGCTGGGCTCGAGAGTTAACCCCAAGGTAGAATGGTACGAGTGAGCCCCTTAACCGATCGGTGAGCGACAAGCCAACAATGGATGCAGTTGCATCCACCCTCTTGTGGCCTTGGTTGGAATGGTCTCCGATTGCAGGACCCAGTATCCCATCAAGGAAACTGCCTTGAGGTCTATAAATTCATTTATTCGTTTTCTTTTAGGGGATTCGCAACCACAGGTTTGCGCAAACAACAGTGTCTGTGGAAATGGAGGCACGTGCGTGGAGATAAATGGGAACGCACATTGTTTCTGCAGACCCGGATTTGATGGAGCTCACTGTGAAGTAAATATCGATGAGTGCGCCTCCAATCCCTGGTAGGCGGCCTTCCGTAGTTCAAACATGTTGTCTAAAAGCTTGCTATCTCTGTCTATGTCCATGTTGTTTCACAAAACCCATGCAGCTTCGTGTTCCGTGTCAAAGTAGCCCTAACAGGCACCATACGTCCTCATACAATCTCTTAATAAGGCATCTGCGGAGGAAGTGCGTTATACTTGCACCCAAACATGCAATTACTTACACATGGCGAAGCCCAGCTAAGACAAAACTCGCACCTTTAGAAAACTTGTTACTTGGGGGCAGCCTAACCGTTTTATTCCCGTTACGGTTCTACGAAAATCAAGCAGCGCGAGTTTGAGTGGTCGTTTATTCGGTCCTATCTGGTGGCGTAAATGCCCTCGTTCTGGTGTGTGGGTTTCACAATCTCCTACATTCTGCATTGGGAAAACAACTACTTGTAATTGTGGGGCCAGTGGTATACTGCTCATCTCCGAGGCATGATAATGTTATGCTTCATACAATTATTTACCGGTCTGTAGAACAACGGATTTTCTGCGCGTGACTTGACTGTCCCAAAGTTGAATAGAACTTCTTTCACAACGCAGCCAGTTCTTTTTGATTTATTTAGAGCCAGTTTGACAGTGGCATTTAAAACTTTCGGTGGACGATACATAATATTTTCTACTGCTATAAATAAGCATATTTGCTTTATCAGAGAACATGGTCACAGTCAGCCGGTTGAACTACTGCGTTGGATTAAGTTTCCTTTCATTTCTTCAGGTTAGACTAGTGTATGTGGCTCCACCAAAACTTTATTCCTAGAGCATGCCAGCTTATTTATATTAAGTAGGCATGCTAGGATAGGGTTATGGGAAATGTTAAGTGCAAGGCTATATTCAAGGTTACGGTTAACTGAAAGATTCGGGTTGGGACTAGTTTTGGGATCAGTGTTACAGTCGGGGCCAAAGTTGACTTTGTCTGCTACCCTCAATCCGGCCTTCCTTTAACCACAAGTACTTGATTCGCATTTTTTAAAGTGCGTGGTCTGTTCCGGCACGTCATCGGAGTACCATAGTTAAACATCTGAAAGAAATGTGAAGGTTACAATAACCCATAGGTTACCTACTTATTTCGTAGTAGTAAGCTTGTTTGATTTTACCACTTTCTATAGGCGTTGGTTGTAACCGCAAAGGTTATGGGTTGTCGCATTGCCTTTCGCAGATTTCGTTACTTGCTGCTTCCATCTGGCCCACAGAACCATATGAGCATCCTTCCTCTATTACAGTAATCACTATGTTCCATTGATCACGTGGGACCACATATGTTGCCGTTGCCCAATTCTAATTTTATCCGTTTTTATTTTCGCTGCTATGTGGTAAATGGACTGGGGTGCACCTATTTGATACTCTACCACTGTTACTTACCTGGATCTGCCTAACTTATTATCGCTATTTCTTTAGTTTGAATGGAGGCACATGTCATGATCTGGTGAATGGCTTCAGATGTGAATGTCAGAACGGCTTTATGGGACCAGACTGTGCCTTCAGTAAGTTACTTATAATCTTTTAAAGTATTTCGGAATTGACTTATTTTTTGCCACTGTCTGTGTGCGTTTCTCTGTTTAAAACCAGCCAGTCCAAAGGATTTTAACGTTGTGCTTTTGTAGATATAGACGACTGCGCAACCCACCCTTGCGCTTACGGAGCGACCTGTGTTGACAAAATTGGTGGATATGAGTGCGTCTGCCCGGAAGGCAGGATGGGGAAGCATTGCGAAGAGGTCAGCAGCCCCTCTGTACCCAAACCGCCGTCCTGCCGATTTAACCATCGTATCTACGATCACGGGCAAAAGTGGAACTATGACTGTCATCGATGTGAGTGTGTGAAAGGAGAAATCGTTTGCAAGCAGGTGAGATGTTCCTCAACTTTCGAACTGACTGCCGCGACTTAGCATAAAAATACGCATGCAAGCCTTTGAGTTTTAAAAAGATGGGCTTGCTTTTTCAACAGTCCTCGTCTCTGTCCTTTGACCATCCCCCCTCTCTGTTTTGTTTGCCCTTATCTGCGGGCGGGCCGGTAGGGCTGTCTTGTTGAGCCGCTTAAACGAAATTTCACCTGCCTAAGGCCGCCTGAAAATAAATTCCACCAGCCTGAGGTCGAAGTTGCGCAGATAGGAACTGTCCACTATTTTTATTGGTCAATGGGCATCAGTATCCCAAGCAACAGGAGTTCATGTTGGTCGATTTGCTTATATTTAGCTCATTAAAACAATTATAAGTGGCTTTAATTTACTTTCCATTGTTCACTTTCCACCCAATTTAATACGAATTTACACTCCTTAATCCAGGATTTAACCTTTAACCACGAATTCCTTAAGCCAGTAGGCGGGGGGAGTTTATTTTAGGGGCCTCACAAGACCACTTTGCCTGCGGGCCTAATGTCCAGACTTATCCATTCGAAGGCTTATAGCCCATTTAATAGAAATATTCCATACGTCAGAAGTCTATTAAACAAGTCATCGACAAACATTCATTTGGCCATCGCAGGTCGTCAGTGTGGAGGGAGAAGAGGTGGGGGAATACGATAGACCCTTGAAGACACCGCAGTTGTTGGGAAGGGCCATGGATTTTCGCCTGCCGCATTGGACGAATTGGGTGCAGGAAGTGAAATTTTCCCCAAGCCAAGAAACAGCCCAACCGGGAGAGTCACATGCAGACGTGTTAGTAAGGAGGAAATGGCGTGGAATAGTATAAAAGGCTAAGGAGTAGTCAAGCAATGCGCGTGCATATGCACCGCAACCCTTATCTGAATCTCTTAGGGCAGAATGGACTACAAGAACAACGGCGCCTAGGGTACCACGCCTGGCCTTATAGACATACTGCAGGGGATCGGAAAAATCGGAGGAGAACGGCGTGATTATGTTCTGCAAGTTGCAGTAATGCGGAAAAACAGGCAATCGGAAAAAATGATTTGGGACCAAAACTAAAAGTTTTGGGGATGGGCGTGATTCTTACTGAACGTCAATCATCCGGAATCTTGGACTCCATGAAGGATAAGTTGATAGGGTGGGTCAAGGCAGGAGATAACTCAAAACAGCAAGATTTTAGGAGAAATGGGGAGACACCATCTGGCCCGACAGCTATTGAACCTCGGACCTTTCTAAGGTGTTTCATCACTGTTACCACAGACACAGGAGAAAAGACGCTTGGTGATGAGGAAATGTCGTTTGATGGAGGATAGGAGTCAATGGGAGCGTGGATTATGATGCTGATGATGATGATGTCGGTGGTGGTGGCGGTGGCGGTGACGAAAACGATTACTATCACGGCGACTACTGTCAGCTCTTTGATTATGATCAGTTTACAAACCATCATTCCAGATCCCGCTAAATACCTTTAACTGTCTGGAGGCATGGGTGGCATAGTTGCATAATATTTTACCCAGAACCGTCTGGCTACCGAATGTTTTTAAACTGCCTATGCTTCCTGCTTCGATAGCCCACTTTCCTTCCTAAATTTTACAGACATTCTGCGGCTACTGGTCCTGCCTCAGGGCCGGCGGTGAAGACGACCCCTTCGCATGC